TTTTTCTAGTTATTGCTTTGAATACAGAAGAAAGAATGACGTCAGTATAAGAAGCCAGAAGCACTTGGATGCTCGTACTCTAATTGATGTACCTACAACTATGCAGCTAAGAATTAATTGTGTAAGTAAATGAAAATCTTTGCTATGTTATTATTGAAAGAAATTGGATTTTCATTGAGTAAATGGGTTGATTATTTGTACTGTTTAATGCAATAAAATGGAAATATTCTGATTTCTTTTTTATGATTATTTAGCTAAAAAATTTGTTCAGATAACTTATATTCTCATCATTTTGATGATGACGAATGAGTTCTACGCATAAAATAGCCAACATTCATTATAATTTTTTTCTAGTAGCCTCTAATCTTTCTCTGCAGATCGCAATATTCGGATGATTGGGCGGCAATTTTTGCTCAAATATGACCAGTGCTTTTTCATATGACGATACTGCTTTTGTATACTCGCCCATATTGCTATACACTCCACCAATGTTGTTGTAGCAGCCACCCAAATGTGGATGATCTGTAGGAAGAGCTTTTTCGCAAACTTCGATAGCTTTTTCGCAAACTTCGATAGCTTTTTCGTGAAACGAGAGCGCTTTTGAATAGTCACCCATATTATCATACACAGCGCCGATGTTATTATAGGAAGTAACTAAGGAGGGATGATTTGAAGGAAGAGCTTTTTCGTCGATTTCTAGTGCTTTCTCAAAGAATGAAAGCGCCTTTGCGTATTCGCTCATCTTGTCATATATTACGGCAATATTGTTATATGAAGTAGCTAACTCTGGATGATGTGGAGCTAGACTTATTTGTCGAATGTCGAGGGCTTTCTTGTAAAAGGTAATCGCCTTTGAGTAGTCATTCAAGTTTTTATACACGCCACCAATGTTGTTATAGGATGTAGCTAAATGAGGATGATTTGAAGTTAGTATTTTCTGTCGAATATCCAATGCTTTCTCGTAGAACATGAGTGATTTAGTAAAGTCGCCCATGTACTTATATAGCGTACCGATGTTATTGTAAGAAGTTGTCAACGAATGATGATTCGAAGGAAGAGTTCTCTGATATATTTCTAGCGCTTTTTCGTAGAACGAAAGTGCGTTAGGATACTCGCCTTTTTGATAATATAATGCAGCAATATTATTATAGAATGATGCCAAATCTGGATGATACGGAGGGAGAATACTTTGGTTGATGTTCAGCGCTTTTTCGTAGAATGATAGTGCTTTCATATAGTTTCCAGTTCTGTTATACAACAAACCAATGTTGCTGAGGCAAGTTGCTACTAAAGGATCATTCGGTGAGAGGGTTTGTTGGCAAAGTTCTAAAGCTTTTTCATGGAATAGAAGTGCTTTTGAATATTCACCCATATTCAAATAGACTAAACCAATGTTGTTGTACGAAAGTGCCAATGAGGAGTGAGTAGTCGAAGTTTTTTCATAAATTTGAATTGCTTTTTCGTAGAGAGAGATTGCTTCATGAAATTCTCCTTGATTCTTTTTGGCGTATGCCAAGTGATGATATATTGGCGCTCTCTCATCATCATCTTTCGCTTGACTAAGCAAAGTCCGATAGATTTCTTCAACTTTGTCGAATTTACTTGCTTTAATTAGCAGTTGACCTAAGCGATGCCATCCACTTGACCCGCTAGTCTCCTTGTGCATTAGGATAGTAAGTTCATTAAGTACTGGATCAGTATCACTAGTGAGAGCTAGCTTCACTTGCCACAATCGGGCGTCTCCATCAATTTGGCGAACTTGACAGATGCGAAAGACGCTATGCATCGAGAAAAGAATCTCTCGTTCGTTATCGTAGTAACTAACATGGTCAACATTAGCGAATGGAGTTGTTGAAATAGAACAATCAATTGTTATTTCGAATAAAATCCCTACCAAAGTAGGATCATATCTACTACTGTCAGCAAAAGTCAAGGAAATGCCTCGGTCAATGCTTGTCGACAGGAAGTTGTTGAACGATATAAGGCCATTTTTACTTTGCCGAAGTTTTTCAAAATCTGCTTCGATCAAACCTTGACCGCGATAAACTATAAATGGTTCTTGGTAATCTTTTAATTGTTCTTGATAAAGCAATTGAATTTGCCGATGTAGATGGCAGATAAAGAAGCCCATCTTCAACAGAGTATCTATTTCAAGAGTTCGTAACGCTCGATTTAGCATCGAATACAGAAAATATTCACAAGTATACCACCAAATCGGTGTATGGTTTTGAAAGTCTCGTTCAAATTTAGCCATAGCCTCTTGGCGAGATGAGTTATCTGTGGATTGTGCGAGAACATAGGCAACAAGGTCGCCGATGGCTTCCGTATCATTGAAATTGATCTCGAGAAAAATTTCTTTGAAGAGTTGGGTGTACATGAAGCTTGGTTCAAGTTGATCGAGACCTTTGGTCTTGAATATAGAGGAAATATCGTCGGCGGAAATGAAGCTCATCGGTATGGAATCTCGATCACATTGAAATGCTGTTTGTTGTAATGTCTGACAGACTAGATTTATATCACTGAATGTACTCTTGACTTTTGGCCACGTTTTTGTCCATTGTTCATTACGAAATTCATTGTCGGAGAAGACATAAATGGCATAGATTTGAGACATATTGTGAATGATGGGGACTATTTGTTTTCCTTGAACACTAGATACAATCAGAAAAACCTTCTCAGTTTGTATTCGAGAAAGAAACTCGATACATTCATCCGGTACGGTAAAGATGTGAATGCTGTTGACAATGTGGTGAAGTTCTGTAATGGAACTACGACAGTTTCCCATCCTTGAATTAGTGATGTCAACATCAAGAGATACTATAAGAAAGTTTTGCATGATCCGAATTCTATTGACGCCTCTATCACTTGACGTTGATGCTGCAGATAGATCAGAAGATTTATCTGACACTTGAATTGCTTTGCCAATCATCCTGAATGTGTAGGTATCAAAATCTTCTGATAACTAGGAAGGCACCCTAAATATAAAAAAAAGAATTGTATGCTATAGTAGGTTTCTGTTCAATGGAAAATGAATAAATACGACTGATTGCTCCTAAGATAACGATCAAAGTTTTCAGGATATATTTTAAAAAGAATTTCATTTGTATGTCTATGGTCGTCTGAAAGATAAATTACTTGCTGAGATAGTTTCGGATAGAATAGTTGATGAAACCTTTTTAGCAAAATGTTTTGTATGTACATAGTGTCAGCAGATGTGTTTTGAGTTCGTCTATTTTGTGTAATTTTGTTTGTTTTGAGAAATTGAAGAAAAAGGCTTCTTGTAATTGGCTTCACAAAAAAACACATTTTCTTTTCTTGCGAAATAAAGAACAACCAATTGTTTAAAAAGTATTTTCTTTTAAAATCGAAGTGACACGTGTAAAAAGACTGCATTGAATAAACAACGAAAAAAATGCGACTGTTACAGTCAATCTCTTTGTATTTGCTCTTTTTTCGATGCAAAATTCTATCATTTTATTTAGTAAGCTGGGGCGTGGATGTGAGTGGTTGTGTGAGGTATTGATGTAAGAACAGGCACTTCTATTCACACCCACACCCCAAAAGATGTGCATGTATGTGCGCAAATGTTTGTAAACATAAATATATTTAAGCTGACGAAGGCAACATCGTTGCTGAAACAGAAGGAATAAATAAATTAATAAGTGATATCAATAATAAGAAAGAGCTCAAAAAATAAACACAAAAGCAAACTCAATATGATCTTCCGAAAAATCAGAAATTAGTTGTAAATCATGTAGATTATACATTTTATTTATGATTTTCGGATTGTTTGAACAAATAGGAATTTATAACCCATTGGTGAGACCGTTAAGCAAAATCGAAATTCGTTTTGGTTTACTGGAGTTAGAAACGCCCACACTGTCTGCCGCATCTTCATATTCTTCAAACTTTAATGGAATAGAACTGTAATGCAGCACATTAAAAGAAAGAAAAATCTTTATTTTTTTTATTGTTCATTTAATAGATGTAGTTGTAAGAGCTACCAACGCGAACAACGCACAAGTGAAATTATTTATTTCTTTTTCTTGAGAAATGACATGAAGTACATTTTTTTTTGTTGAACTCGATAGAATGGAGTCTCACAGAAAATGTTAAATTTTGAAGATGATTGCGAGAAATTTCAGAAAATCAATTTTATTATGACGGTTTATTGTTTTAGGTAAAAAGCTTGCTTAAATCTGAAATTAAGGCTTTGTCTTGATGATATCTACCAAGTGTTCAATTTATATGATGCTTGAAAGGAGTCCATGCGCGAATTTCAGACAATAGAACAAGATTTTGCCCGTGCATTAAAACGTTGTTTGATACATGGAAAAATTCAATATTCTGTAATTGAAGCAAACATCAATGTAGCATATGAAGGTTTTTGGTTCGTGCAGAATAGATATTAGTTCGTAATGAAGAATTGAAGGGTGATTTGATGAGGAGGGAGAGACTACCATCATCGTACGCCCTTAATATTTTTTTGTAGACCTATAATTACGAGCAAAATGGCCCAACTTATTACACTTGTAGCAGCGTAAAGGACGCGATTGATGATGTAAAGCATTAAATGAAGAATCGTGAGGCTGAGGAAGATATTGTGGTGATGGTTGAGGACGAAAACGAGAGTACGACTTTGTTGGTGATTATGCATTCGTAGAAGGTGATGAAAACATATTTGATGAATTTTGAAAATGTATAGGTTCTATACGGTGTGTTGAGCTGGAATATGAATTATTGAGTTGATTATCGGCAGAAATATCATTGTGGGTGTGGGTGATGGGAAGATATCCACACCTACACCCTTGACGATTGCGCAAACGACGAGATGCTAATTACTTAAGTGTTGGAGATGAATACGTATGAAGAAATTGAGCTTTGAACACAGTCCAGGATTCGAAGGCTGTGATTTTTTCAGTGAACCATTGTTTAGCAGACCCTTCAAGAAATGTTGGTATTATCTTGAGTGCTTGTGATTTGGTAATATCTGCCAAGCGAAATGTTGAGGTGAGATCCTTGAGCCATTCATCAGCGTCTTGATCAGGTTCACCAGAATATTTAGGAGTTTGTTCCAAGGTTTTAATAAGTAGTGTTGCTACCGTTTTTTCTGCTATAATAAATTCAATTGGACGATAAAAAATGGAGCTTAATAATGTATCATAAGGAAAGTCAATATCAATTTGAGCTAATCGATGAAATTCGTCTTGAATGAGTCGTGCTGCTCCTTGTCATGTTAACATAAATTAGAAACGTGAACAATATAAATAAAACCGGTCAGTGCACCAGTTGTTAAGCTTTTACTTCCTTTATTTTATTATTCTCTTCCTTTCTTTTAAAAAAACAAATAAGTGAATCAAAAACAGAAAAGCAACAAAGAATGTGATTCTCTCTCTTCCTCTATTCTTCCATGACATACCTCCTTGTTTATTTTCAGAACAAAGAGATATCATGAAGCGACGAGAAGGAATGCCATTAACGAGAGCTGTAATATTTTAGAGAGCCCTCTTATGTCAGGAGATGTCTCTCCTGACATAACACAAACGTTTGGGTTTGTTGCATCCCTATACATGATGATTCATTGCTGTATTTACAGATATATTTGTTTATTCTACGTGTACAATCAAAAGCCCCATTGTTATTATTATTAATGGTGGTTTATGTCTTGATCAGAGTGACCAGATGGAAAATTTCAAAATCAGAAAAAATAGTTCAAAAATCAGAAAACTGGCAGAAAAAAGATTCATCGAAATCAGAAGAAAATCAGAAAATATGTTCAACGTGAAATATCAGCACTGATGTTTCCTATATCATTCGGATCAGTCGAAAAATGCGGATCTGTTTTGATTATTTCCGCAACTGACGACTAGCCACGGTTATTTTCTTTGTTCTCACGATTTTCCAGGGTAAAACTCGACGGTTAATCTCAGTCAAGCTCCTAGTTAACCGGATTAGTAATCGGTAAATTGTCAGCTGATCACTAAGTGATCTGATTCACTGAGAGGTTAACCGTGGGTTTTTACACTGGAATATCGTGGGAACAAAGAAAATAACCACGGTCAATCGACAGTTATGATCATAACCGAAATAAGCCATCGGTTTTCACTCAGTACTCCTGGCATGGGTTGGCCTAATATAGAACCTATTTTTCGAATTCAATATGTTTACTGTTGCATACTAGAAAGAACTAGTCATAATCTTGAAAGTCGAAACTAAGCAACCATTAAAAGAGAATGTCGCTCTGTCCGTTATTACAACTCTTTGGTTCGTTGTTTTTGGCCAGCCATCGCTGGAAGAGATGATATCTATAGAAATAATTGCACAGATAAAGTCAACTTGTTAGCAATTTAATAGTGAAGCCAAGAGTTTCAAACCAATTGATTCCTGTATTCTCTCCATTACATAGACGAGAGCTTCAACAGAATAATTAATTATCCTCCACTTTTGGTTTCGGCATTTTCTCGTTGTTCTGGAGTAATTAAAAACCTACTTTTATGGATTTTTTTACTTCAAACTACAAAAATTAATAACATAGAGACAGAACTACCATTTACTAAAAAATCAAATATATTTCAAAAGACTGAACAGGAACTTTTTGTTTTGAGTTTAACGTGCATGTATCCAGAAAAGAACACTGCCTCAACTAGAGCTATAGCTATTAGTAAATAGAATAAATGACATGCTAGGTTACTCAAAATGAGGGATTAGAAAGTAGAAATTATAAATAATTATATTACAATATCAACATTTTCTTTCTTGAAAAACTACACATTTTACTCGCAAATCAATACTTTTGCTTACTGTGACACACCATTAATCAACTGGTCGATGCAAAGAGATGTAGGAAAAATCAACTAAAGATTAAATACAAAAGAGACAACTAAACAATGACTGAGCTTCGAAACTTCGTTGTGGCGTCAGATCACATTCTCAACTCGTACAGGACAATTAAAATAAAAACCTTCAAAATCAGAAAAAATCAGAAAGCAGAAAACCATCAGAAAAGATGCTGAAAATCAGAAAATTTCTGAAAAATCAGAAGATCTGGCCACCCTGGTCTTGATTGAGTTGATGATGATACAACCGGTTTATGCTTTATGAACTGCGCTGATGATGGTCGCAACAATATGCTCAAAAATTTAACAAAACAAAAAACAAAAATAATTTTTTTTTTTCATTTATTATTATTCATCTATGACTTTTTTCATTCTTATTATAATCATATCAAAAATTTTCTTCGTCAATAAAATACTCATATTTTCAATATCGTATTATTTTTCGATCTTATTCTTGCAGATAATATTTTTTCTACAAACAAAATCCGTTTCATATATAGTTTATTTAAATAAGTAATAATAACTGATACAGAAAAACTAAAAAGAAAAAAAAATACAAAATAGACAATAACAGAAAAGAAACAAGTTACAAGGATATAAGTAAAAATAGCTGATTAGTTGCAAAACAGAAGAAAGCTAACTAAAGTAAAAGTCAGTTGATTTCGATGGTGATAGATGCCACTGTCCAGTCTACAAGTGCATGATGTTGCATTCTTGCCATCTATCCTACAGGGAAAACACAGTTATTAGTGCAATTCTTGCGAGATTCAAAATGAACACTAAATCATCAAAACATATCTGATTTAAACATCCTATTCAAATATTCTTCTCGCTTCAAAGAAACTATGCCAGCTATCCCCATACATATTTCCTACAAAATCATTGAATTCTAAAAGCTTCTTTCAACTAATATGTCCGTTCCTACACACGCATTTCAAGTTGCTTATATTAACCGACAAAACACCATACCAGACTAATTCAGAGCAAACTATTATTCCTGTATTTTCTTCAACTCGACAAAAACATTTTCGGAACACTATGTGATACCAGAACACTCACTCAATGAAAAAATTATAAAAAGCTATTCAAATATTTTCTGCAATTCCCAACATACAATGGCACTTCATTATCTGTCCACAAACATTCAATCAACGAATAACTCATATTAAACATCTATATACCCACTTCGCTGTACTATAAGCAAATGGTTCGATTAAATTCCATCTTCGACCAACACTCGTCAAATGAACCACTCATAACAACCTTTTGAAATAGTTCCCACCAATCCGCAGTAAACAATGACATTTCATTACCGCACGAGAAATGTTCAATGGAGGATTAATTAATAAAACCATATTCCTCTATTTCCTTCAAGCATCAACAAATCTTCCTATTAAATTCCATCGTCCACGAATGCTCACCAAATGAACTACTCATAAAACACTTTTCAAATATTTTCTGGCTTTCGAAGAAAACAATAGCACTTGATTATATCCTCAGAAACATTCAATTAACGAATAACTCATAGTAAACACCTATATGACTACTTCACAGAACAATAAGGAAATG